ACTGCAAAATTTAATTATAAAATATTTGGCGACAAATTTTATGACATAAAACAGATTTGAAAGTAAACGAAAAGATAGAAGAAGCAGAGCAACGAGAAAGTTAAAAAAAATTATTTCGTATTTTGTGTGGTTATGCTTTTTCGCACTCCAAAAAATTTATCGAAATACTTTTAAACATAAGCTCGGCCTAAATTTATTAAAATTAATTTTTTCCAAAAAAAAAATAAATTGAAAAATTAAATGTGCACTTGTTTTAGCGCTCTGCGCTATGAGTTAGAGTGGAAGCAAGTGTACAACAGGTCTCAAGGCTCAACTCGTTTGTTGCTGTAGACATCAAAAACTCTATTTTCAACTATTTTCTAATCATTTTTCCCGATGTAAGTACTCGCTGGTACAATCCATGTGAAACGAAAAAGAAAAACCTGAAAAAACGAACTTGAGTGTATTTTGGAAAATCATTCATTTAGCAGAAAACGAGCGAAAAACATTTACCTGCTCATTTATAAAAGCACTCAAGAGCAAGAGTGAGTAAAAAATTGCTTCTGTATACTGAACAAATCCCACTCATTTGGGGCTGCCACTGCGTATGATTGTGAATTTTCACTCATTTAGTAGAAAAGCGAAAAAACCCACTCACTCAGTAAGAGGAGTATTATTTAATATCAAACGAGAGAAAATAAAAATATAACTGTAAGTTAACGATTTATTTGTAAATTAAAAGAAAAAACCGAACGTCTTATGAATTGTAAAATATATGTATATAAATTAAGAAATTTTATTAAAATGTCAAAGGTCAAACGTCATACGTCAAAAGGGTTAAATATTGTATTAAACAAAGGCTAAATGCATTGTTTCGTAAATCAAAAGTTACCGTTAAATATTCCTTTGCAATTTGTTGCTTAAAAAAGTATACTTTTTCGCCTAAAAGTATGCAAAGTTGAATTTTTTTTAAATATCTCTTTTTTATGGAATTTTTCACAGATTTTGCCGTCTGTCAGTAATGTTTCGAAAGTATTGTTTCTTTGAGTAAAAATCTATAACTGTTTTATTTAATTTAGTGAACCTCCTTTGTAATTTTTTTTTAACAATTAATATTGAACATACATAGATGTGAAAAAAATATATTTCCTATATTTAGCAGTGTTTTTTGTTAGTTCATTTGAGCGCGCTTTCTTGAATTTGTCGTATTTTCAGTTCGTACAAAAGCTTTTGTTTCGCAGAATTAGAATTGAGAAACTTAACCTCAAATTGTTGACTTCTTTGTATTTGTTAAGTAGTTAAATTTGTAAAAAAAAAAATGATTCAAGAGAGCATAAAATATATTTGACAAATGTTATAAGCAGCAAACAAATTTGTATTAAAACTTTTGCAAAAAAAACATTTCAAATCAATTTAAAATTCTATAATTTATTCAAAAATTTTTTTTACATTTTTTTTTAATTTTTTTTCTATGATTTTTTTCATTGAAAATTGTGAATATTGTTTGTAAAAAATCGAAATATAAAATTTGCAAACATTAAAAGCAAATACATACATATATATATATTTTAGCCATGAAAAAAATTACAAAAATAAAAATAAAACTGAATATAAAAATGTAAACCTTACCGTAAAACAGGTTCAATGCGCTACTCGCATAACAATTGGTATTTTTGTATTATTTGAATTGTATTTGTTTGCACTTTAATGTAATTTAAATATTAAGTACTTTTGATTGAAACCAATTCTTTTTTATACCAATACACACACGAGTATATACATATGTAACTGCATTTACAAGCTTACTTATAAAATACATATGTATTCTTCGCCTGAAAGTCTCCGATTACTTTCTCTGTCAGTTTAAATTTATGTTGCTCTTTGTGTTATTGCTTATTAATATTTTTATATGCGTTAAATTTTGTTAAATTCTAATAAAATTAATAAAATATTCGCAAACAATATACCTGAAAATTACAAAAAAAAAAAAAAAAAACAAATGTATATCATAAGACGTTTACATACATACATAGTTCTCTAAATGCTTACATACACTTGCGAGCAAAATAAAAGAGTTAAATAATAATCGTAGTCTTTATGGCACGACCGAATGTGCTAAATATTATTACTAGTTACACACACACACGCATACACACACACACACAGACACACTATATGCAATCCCCTATACGTACTTACAGTTATTAATATAAAATATTTGTATGTAATTTACTTAATGAATTTTTAATTTTTGTGTTCAATCTTATTTATTTGATGTAAAATGCATAATTTGATATTTAGTATAGAAACTGCTGCATCTCTTATGTGGATATTACGATTTACATACATACATACACACTTGCCTACTGACTCGTTTGTTTGTGATGTTAGAGTAAAGTGAATATTGTTAATTAAATATCAATTAGAAAAAAATAAAAAATAAAAAATAAAAAATTAGTGTTTTTTTTTTCAAATAAATAAATTATTTCTCATGTAATGACGGTAATTACTGCATGAAGGACAAGAGAAACGTTTCAAAAATATGCAAAACGAAAATGAAGAGAACTCAAAATAATATTAAACAAATAATGAAATTAAAATGAGAAATATACATGAATAATGAAAAACAACATTTTAAATTAAACTGAATTAAATTGAACAAAAAAACAACAAAACAAAATAATTACAAGAATAAAAATAAGTTATAACGGCTGTTTTCATATCCGAATGATCCGAAATCTCAAATCTGAAAAATCGGGCCATCATATACATACGTACATATATGCTAAAGTAGTCCGAGCGTGTACAAACAGACGGACAACATGCCGTTGTTTTTCTGACCAAATCGGTATACATTTTGATGGGTCTATTTCTTATCCTGCTTTTCTACTTTTTGATATGACTTAACTATCTTCAAGACGTGGAACTGCTTGCGACCTCCGATTACTTATTCGATATTATCCTTGAGTATCGAATTTTTAGTCCAATAGAAAATAAAAAATAAAATGTTGGAAATATAGTACACATACATACATAAATGTACTTTTAAGTGACTTACTGGGTTACATAAGTTTCGGGGGGAAAAGTGTGATTAACAAATTTTTTTAATATATTGGGCAAGTAAGATGTTCATTCGTTTTTTTTTATTGATTTTTCAAAATATGATAACTTCGTGTACATTTGTCCGATTCAAGTCAAATATGCGCCGTTTTGTTCGTTAACTTGTTGCCCACGAGATGCCCTCTCGTAAAAGGCTGCGTCCCTATTGGCAAATAACACGTAGAGCCAATTTTCATAGTGGGTGTATTATGACCTCCCATCCGAGCTCCTGGAGATTCAGGCGCGTCACTAAAGACGTGTGTGGCCTGTCGTTGTCCTGATGGAACACAATTCGGCCTCTGTTGAACAAAGATGGCCTCTTCTGGATGAGTGCTGCCTTCTAGCGGTCCATTTGTTGGCAGTGGAGGGCCGCATTGTGCGTTTGGTCATAGGGGAGCAGCTCGTAGTAGATGATTCCTTGCCAATCCCACAAAACACACAGCAAAATCTTCCGTCAATCCGGTCTTGGCCACCGTCTGGGCCGCTTCCCAAGGTTATGCAAATGGTTCCAAGCGGTTTTCTGGCTCATCTCACGTAATAGTCTGTTTTCACTATTTCCATGATTTTATCGCAATTTTCGGCGACAAGCCTCCCGACGCGTGGTGCATCTCTGACATCGAAATTACCGGAACAGCACCTATCAACCCACTTTTAAGCTACACGTTCGTTTACAGTATCGGGACCATAAACAAAATTAATTTTTTCATCCGCTTTTGCTGCTTTTTCGCCTTGATCGAAGAAAAATTGTAAAATAAAGCGAATTTTCTCTTTGCTGGTGTCCATCTTTGGCGAGCGCTCACAACGTACAGAATCAATCAATCAAAATACTGTCAAAGGCAAACTTTTAGCGCAAAAAAACACGTTTTCAGCGCCGTATGGTATGCCATAATGCGTCGTATCACTAGTACTATGGACAATAACGCCATCTCTTAGATAAAAACCGAACGAACTTCTTACTTGAAATGTATGTAAAGTAATTTATTCAAAGCAAAAACATTTTGAAAAGTGTTTCGGAACTTCAATATTACAACATCATATATTCATAACTTCATTTTTTGAAATTTGGACGAAGGAAAATAAAAAAGTGAAAATGGGATTTTTGCCAGATTTATTTAGAAAAAAATTCATATTTGTGTAAAATTTACTCGACATTTCTTTTTGTAAATACCACTATTTGAAAAAAAAGACTTGGTTGTGTGTCCATCAAAATGGATTGAGTAGTTTTCGAGAACTTTTGTCTATCCACGAACTATTTATATATTTCCTTAAGGAACGGTGCCAACGGTCCAAGAAGGAAAAGTTCGCGAAAGCGCCGCGTAATGCCGAATTATACTTCCCTCGATTGTTGCCTCCAACTGATTATCGATATTCGTTGATACATTTTTTTAGATTTTCCTTTTTTTCAAAAGTTTATTGATTTTTCTATAATAAATAAATTAAAAATTTCAATTTCTTTCTAACACAAAATATTTCAATAAAATTCTTGGGTTTCTTCATTCTAATTTTATTTTTTTCATTCAACATTTGCATGTTTGATTCAGCACTGAATTTTAATTTATTTCGCTTTCGTTGTATGAAAAATGGTTGTTTCCAATGAAGGATTTGAAGAAAATTGCTTGGAATTGGAGATCTAAGCATGACAAGCAAAGCTGCATGAAAACTTATGTACTCGTATGTATGTATGCATTTAACTATTATTATTTGTTAATTAGAAAAGACGTGAGTATTAAATTTATTATGATTTTTCGTTTCTTGTTTTACATTTTTGTTATTTTCTTCTTTTTTTCTTAATTTTAAAAAACGCGCATGGTTTGCAAAACTACATATAAACATATGAACATACATACATTCTTGCTATTGTATGTAATTTGTAATTTGTTCAATTTTCAATTAATAATCTCTCCAATTTCTCACCCACACAGCCGCATCAAGTGTGCCGCCCAGCAACACCACTAAGTCCGCCTTCGAACCGCCGAAAGGCATTCTCAAATCAAAATCCATTGGTGTCGGTTTTATGCCCATGGACTTGAGTTCGGAATTGAAAAATCGCCTGAAAAGCTCCACCCACGCATCTGTATCGAATCTACGTAAATCGGCGACGACACACAACGCCGCCAGAGCAAGTGATGAGAACGTCTCTGCCTTGGCTAATTCCGCAACGTCGACTTCTTCAGGTGCTATTGGCCCACAGCACGACGACGCAGTGAGTCTCGTACGCAATCTCTCGAATTTGGGTCGTCCACCGTTGGCGGGTACAAGCGGCAGCGGTGCTTCGTCTTTACGTGGCGGTGACGTAATCGCTTCCACATCCGAGGGCGAAAGCTCAGGCGGTCGTGAAATATCGGAAATTATAAAGAACAGCGCAGTGGCGCGCAGACGCAAATTGAATGATGGGTGAGTGTGAAAAGAAAAATTGGAAGTAGCGCCATCAGTACGCCCGCCATTGGGTACTGCTGGGCACTACTCGCGAGCTGAATTATTTTTTATACACAACTACATAAGCCTACATACGTACATACATACGTACATGTATGTATGTTATCCTGAAACAGCACTAACCGCACAGCATTGCTGAGATTTGAATTGCTCGTTTGCTCCTTTCAAACGCAACCAACTAATTCTCTTACATTAGATTTAATTAGAATTTTAAGTATAAATACAGATTTCTACGAGTATTTGTAAATGATACGAATGTTATGGAATAATTATATGTATGCATAAGTATGCGAAAGATTTTTTTGTGCTAAACATTTCATATTAATAAAAAAATTAATTTATTGTATATGTATGGGTGTCCACTGAAGTGCGTATGTAAATGTATAACAGTAAATTATAGTTTTTGTACGATTCCTAAGTTTCCATTAACCATAAATACATACATATATTTTTACAAGCCCTTTATGGTATAAAATCTTGTAACCAATCGCCAGATCCAAAAAATATATGTATTGAATTTAAGCAAAAACTAAATAAAAAAAAACAATTAATTAATATATTACTAATGCAGCAGTTAAATCGCAAATTTAGAATGTAATATACGTGTGTATGTACGCAAATTAAAAAAATTTTGAATTTTTTTTACTAACTCAATAACTGTTTTAAAAACTAATACATACACCTTAGCTCTAGGAATGTTAAGCTAAAGTTTTTATTTCCTCGAACACTCTTTTTAGTTCTCGTTTATAGGCAAAGTAAGTATTGTTTTCGTACAATGTTATTTTTTTTTTTAAAGTGGAAGGAAATATTTGGGTCAATCGGCAGCCTGATGGCAGATCGATGCCCCTGTTGTGATATTGTACACCTCTTTATCACTCTTTCCCTCTTTCCTTGCCAGAACTCTGCATAGCAGACCTTTATCCTTCGTAAATGGTGTTATTATTAATTTTCAAACCAACTTAAACCATCAATTTCGATGTAAATAAAATTTTCATATTCCGTTTCTGTTATATAATTTTTTATTTTTTTTAAATTTCAAAATAAAATCTAACGCTTATTCGGATATAGTTGTAAAAATTAAGAACTTTTGAATTCCACTAACAAAAATTAATACAAAATAATACAAAATTAAATGGCACACTTTTACAACAAACTAAAAGAAATTAAATTCTAAAAAAAAAACACTAAAAATTCATATTTATTATGTTTTGCTTTTTGTTTTTTGCAATTCAAGCGGTTACTCAACTAAAGCGAAAGCAACAAGTTACTTTTGGCCATATCAGTTTAAACTCCAATCGACACCTTCAAAACTTGAACAAAGTGACAAAAAAGCAAAAGCCTGAAATGACGGTGTCTATACGTCCCTTGCGAACCATATTGTATATATTCCATATACATACATATATATATATATTTATTTATATTTGTTTATATTTATATATATTTAACCTTAATATTATACAATAACAAAATTTTTTTCATGCGTTTATTCTATCTTATGTTATGCCGTTTTAATCGACTTACGACAGATGAGAAAAAATGTTTCCTCTTAATAAAAGTTAACCTTTGGAAATTCACAAAATTGTGTTTTAATTCTATTTCGCTATATTTATAATATATATAATAATAATAAATATATATATAACATTTTCAGCTTTGCTTGCCTTTTTAACGCCTCCTACTAATTATGTCTGTAATTAACTTCTAAGAGCTCGTAAGTTTCACGTGTCAAGGTTCTTTTTTTTTGGTAATCGACTTCACAAAATTAATATATAATATGTACATACGTATAAATATATAGAAACAGGTAGACTAAGGAAATAAAGTTTTCTTCCTACCAGAGAATTTTTGTTGCAGGTGATAAGAAAACGAGTCGCCCTTGGAAATAAATTTATCGCTTTAATCAATTTCTTATAACCAGTCGTTCTAAAGTGCCCGCCAATAAAAATATTGCAATTTATTGCAAATACAGAGTATTAGAATATTTAATCGCTGGAGTTATCACTGATCGATCTTCACCATCAGCATTCTTGTCAACTCCTGGTTCTTGTACCTTAAGGAATTTTGGTTGTGATTTACCAAGCACAGAATTACTTAGTTGTTGTTGTTGTTGTAACCGCAAATTATTCCCCGAATTGGTTTTCGGGGAATATTGCGGAAGTGACAGTCCTTGGCCGGATAAAAAATCCGGGTCATTCCGGTATAAAGACCCGACTGTCGCGGGAACTATTGGCTTTTACTCGCCTCTTACGACAGGCATGCCTTACCACGGGTAAATTCTTGAGCCCCTAACCCGCAGAGGCGGGTTAGTCCTAGGCTATGCTGGTGAAGTTCGCTTAGCACCTGCTGATTGCGTTGAAGTAAAAGATATATGATCATTGAAATCACAATATGGCGGTGTGCCGTCACAATTAACTTCTGAATCTAATATTGCTGAATCGTCAAACTGTATGGAGTCTGTATTAACATTCAAATAATCAGCGAGTATAGGATTCACGTTGACGCCTGCTTGCTGCATCAATTCTGCATATTCTCTGGCTGCCAGCTCTTCTGTATTTTGAGTACTGGGGATTGAGTAGGGCTGGGATTCTGCTAACGGTGGTATTAGGATGTCTGATGCTGGTTGTTGTTTTATTGTATCAGTATCTGATGACGTGAATAAAGCACCGGAATGTGGTGTTTGTTCTGTTATGGACGCAATGTCCGAAGGTGTTGATCGTGATGGTGATTTAAGCAATTCTGCCATAAGAGCGTCAATATGTTCCTCATTTTCCATGGCAGAACATAATTCTAATTCTCCTTGTGAAGACTCTTCATTGTTGATTTGCTCTTCCACACGATCATACTCCCATAACACCAACCGCATTAAATTTTCCTTTTTTCTTTCGCACCATTGCCTTTCACGTTCTATTCGTATTTCCTCTTCACTATACATGCATACATCTTTATGTCTACATATGCCTTTTATTATTAGCTTTTTCGTCTTCTCTTTCGTCCAACGTTGTATGCGTCCTTGTCGGGTAAACTGGTCGACGAAATCTTGCACGGGATTCCAACGATACATTAGAACACGACATGATCGGCGCAGACATAGCTCTTTAAGTTGCTCCTCATCCAGCTTACACTCCAGATCTTCACGAGTTGGTATCTGCAAAAAGTCCATAACTTCCAGATTATTTATATCCTTATAATTTATATTGATAGGCTTTTGTACTTACGAAATCGTCAACGTACGCTTTATATAGAGCAGGATTTCTTTGAACATCTTCTTTGCTTATACCGTACTCTTCATATAGCCTCTCCGGCGTTAAATCCTCCAAGCGAAAAAGCATATTATTAGGGTCCATATTTCAAACTTTATTTATTTCTATTTATGACGCCAAACGTTTGCTATATGACACAGCCAAAGAGTGTATTGAAAAATGTCCAAGAACTATGGAATTTTACAAGGAAAGCGCCAACAGCAATTCCATTACTTACAGTTAAAATCATCAGCAAAGATATCTATGGCATCACTCAAACACGGTAAGAGCGGCAACAAATCAGACTTCAAATGAAAATCCAATGATATTAAAGCAAATAGAATGTAAACAAAATATGCTTTTAACAATCTCTAAAAATATCAAAAAAGTTTAGTTTACTGCATCTTGTTTAAATCGAACTGTGGAATGAATTCGCCTTGATTTGGCGCTGCCATATTTATCAATCTCTAAGGCGAATTGTGTAACAGAATTTGTGGTATACAATTTGACAAAAAACTGCTGCTAAATTACAAAAGAAGAATGCAATGTACTTGCAATACACAGAGAAAGAGCAAAAAATTGTTCTACAATGTAAAATTGATAATGCACACAAATGTTTAAATTTATTTGGGGAAACTATACGAGGTGTGTTCAAAAAGTATCACGAATTTTTTGTTTTTTTCAAAAATTATTTAATTATTTATAAATATCTATTTTGTCCCCTTCAAAGTAATCCCCATGAGATATTATACACTTGTGCCAACGGGTTTGCCAATCTTCGAAGCACTTCAAAAAATCATTTTTTTTATCTTGTTCAGCTCCTCCTTCGATGCCGTCTAAATCTCGTCAATCGTAGCGTAACGTTGACCTTTTATGGGCCTCTTCAGTTTAGGGAACAAGAAAAAGTCACAGGGGGCCAGATCTGGGGAACACGGTTGCTGCAGCATCATTAGTGTGCTGTTTTTGGCCAAAAAGTCGCGCACAAGCAACGATGTGTGAGAAGGGGCGTTATCGTGGTGCGAAAGCCAATTTTTGTTCTTCCACAAATCCGGGCGTTTCTGGCGGATCGCTCCGCGTAAATTGCGCTAACTTGCAGGTAATATTCCTTACTGACCGTTCTACCCTGTGGCAATACTATTTCCTCCACTTCATTAAGTTTTTTGACTGTTGTTGAAGTGCTCGGCCGTCCGGCACGGTCTCCGTCGTTCACATCTTCTCGGCCTTCTGAGAACATTTTGTACCACCGATAAACGTTGCTTCGGTCCAAGGTAGCTTCTCCGTATGCCACAGTCAACATTCGGAATACTTCCGCGCACATAATTTCGTTCTTCACACAAAATTTTATACAGGTTCTTTGATCCATTTTTTTGAAAAGGTAAAAATCGAAGACCATCCAAAACACGTGCAAGCAAAGCAGCTGTCCACAATTAGGTGAACATTCAAAATGGCCGAGCTTGTCGGAATAAGTGACAGACATGAGTACCAACATAACGCCACGAAAAAATCGCAATTCGATCATACGTAACCCGCTTTAATTCAAAATTCGCGATACTGTTTGAACACACCTCGTATATTTGTCCTGATTTCCATTTTGTTTCCTTTTTTTTAGTTGACGTAAACGACACGCAAAAATTCTAAATTTCAATTCCATTACTGGTTCTCTTACGAAAGTGAATTAATTTTTTTCAGTAATGAGGAATTTTTAAGTTAATTCATAAGAAGTGAAATCTAATATAAAACAGTAGGGTAACATGCAACCTTGCATTGGAACATTTGTATATGAGGAATAAAATAAATGTCAGCATAAGAGTGTGTGAAAAATAAAACAAAGAAAAATATTCAAAACAAACCGCGCCGATACTAACAAATACGTACGTTATAAACCGCGTCTCTGACCGCTCCAACGTAGTAAATATACTCTTCACCTTATATAGATTCAAGTGTGCGTGCCTCATTTGACGGATCTTTGTAGATTCGATGCAAAAAATAATCGGTGTGAGCCAGTAAGTACGAAAAAGACTGGCAAAGCAAACCAGTAACCAATTGGTGGTGGCGGCTCTTTAGGAGCTCCAAACAAACAGCTGTGGAGTGAAGCGTTGAAGTGAGTTGTCAGCAGCGCGCAACGCTACGAGACAGCATGTACAAACAAATGTATATTTATACTTTTATGTGCTTGTGTTTGTCAATTCCAAACGAAAACAAGCGACGCCGTCTGGTTTGATTGCTGCTGCTGCTGCTGTGGCTGCGGTTCAAGCGGCAGACAGCAGTTGAGGCGAACATTTTGAATTCCCTTTTGTGTGCGTCGAGTCAAGTTGAAACGTTTGCTGGAGAAGGTGGTGTGTTCGCGTGTTAATTTTTCGATTATACATTCAATAAATAATAACGAACGGCGGTCGTACTCAAAACACCTTTGCTAAAATATTGAAATCAGTTTAATATTTAATTTTTATATTAACATTTCATGTGTACATACATTTTTTATAAGAACTATTATCTGAAACTTTAAACTAATAAATGCAGCCGGCTGCGGTGCGCACAATTTTGGGTATTTAGCTGCCTACCTACCTACATACATACCCACTAGCATTCTTTTGGCGATTCGCATCGCTGACCAGAGCAAAGCTTGTAAGTTTTTTGGTGCGGTACGGGCGCTAGCTACAGCTGACACATATACAACACATATGTAGCAGTTTAAATGTTTCCATAAAAGTGCAAAACATAAATAAAAATAAATTTTATACAAAAAGTGGAGCAAGTTTTTTTATATAAAAATACATACATACATTCATAAATAATCATACATAAATTATTAAATGTGCTTGCGATATAAAAACGTTACAAAATCATTGGAATCGGTTTTAAAAGCTTCTTCAAGCAATATACATACATACTTATGCAAGTGGGCGTATCAATAAGCGCATCTACATATTACCGTATGCATCGACGCTTGCATTCATATAGTGTAGTATATCGTTTCAGTAATTAAAATCAATCGAAAATCCAGCATATACATAAGTATGTACTTACATATATACGAATGCAAACATATAAATTACAAAGTGCTTTAGTTACTTTGCTGTTCTGTGGTTACAAATATACAAATAATTCCAAATCCATTTGCTTTATGTACTGACTTTCGAAGCAATCGCTCATTGTAAATATGTGTTTATTAATCATCAGTTTTCTTATCGGAATTCAAACCAAGAGCAATACTTCTATGGGAGCTTAAAGGTTGGTAAAACTTTTAATTGAAGATCTAAGAAATAAGTTCAAACTCTAATTTTAAGCATTTCCTTAAAGTAGTCAATTAAAAAGTCCTACCCAGCGAGGTCTTAGTTTTATATTCACCGAATAATAAAGAATTTGTTGCTTTGCGGCTGTGTAGGACGAAAAATGAACAGAAATGCTTGCTTATATGTTATATGTATATACATATATTGTATATGTATGACATATCGTTACAAGAGGTTTTTATTTACACACTCTGCATGAATCGTTTGTGGTTTTAATTTACATTTTTTTAATTCCTTGAAATTTCTTAGAGCGATTTCAAAATTGTTATTATTGGACTTAAAACATTGTGAAAATAAAAAAATTCTATAATTCGAGTTCATATTTAGCTTGCTTTGGATATCGTAAATTACTCCTTGTTATGCAGTTGTGTCAGGTATTGCAAGCTGGAAAGCATATTTTAAAAACAAAAGACTCCGATTTCAACTGGTATTTGATATACTATGTACATATATACAGGTACATATGTATATAAATGCCTTAAAAACAATGATTTTAGCAATTAAACCTGAAATCATGCAAACTCTTGTGAATTAAATTTAGATAAAAATCAAAAACCACAAGAATGAAACTGGAAATGTAAGAATTGAACAAAAGGTGTTGGCACGTATATAGTACAATACATATTTAATTATTTTAAACAATAATAATTTAGCAAAGCGATTTATTCACTAAATACAAAAAAATATTTTTTTAATTTTATTTATTAATATTTGTATAGAATGCATATAAACGCCTGTAGTACTAGTAGATCGCGGCCACACATGTTTGTATTTTATTATACTGAAATGTGTTTGTATTTTGTGCCATATTTATACATATAATTTGCGTCTTGATGTTTTTCCAAGAAATAAAGGGACCCACAAGGTTTTTTATTTCATGTCATAAATACACTCGGAGGGGTTGCTAATTTTTGGTGAGGGGCAACCGTAATTAGAAAAGCTTATTTTTGAACTAATTTGCTTTACATACACCACTAGACCGTTACTTTGGCCGCCAAAATATTAAATATATTTTTATTTACTTTCGAACGCAATTCCAACCTTAAACGGGATTTTTCAAATGGTTCAATTCCTGGAAGAAAACGTGGTGTTCATTTGGATCTCAGGGCCATATTTTCTAAGTTTCAAGGAAATCGAACCATACCTATGATTTTTCCAACAAAAACGATAATATAAATTTAAGTTTTAAAATCCCTTTTTACATTACTTCAATTATTAATAATGTTTAATTATAATTTGTGGGTATCCATTGTTACGCCTAAAATCATCGTGAATCGGAAGTGTTATGTGCAATTGCTGACCTATTCCTCAAGTATTTTTTAAATAATTAAGCGTAAAAATACAAATTATTCTCACAACAAAAAAAAATGTTTTTTTTCTTTATAATAAATTGCATAGTTATCGTTAAATGCTCCTGCTTTGCCCACTTAATTGACTTTCATTTGCGTAGAAGACACACAAAGTCAGTTGTAAATAGTAAACTGATTTGCATGAATTTGCCGATTCTATAATGAAAAATGGTTTGTTTACTTTTTTTTAATTATTCTCTTTCACCACTTCTTCTGGGGGCGCTACTACACGGCTCAAGATACGGGAGGTCGGCGGTCACCATGAAATCGAAACTGATCGCATTATATATGCATAATAAAACGTTGAAATTTATGAAGAGAAACTTGACTGAAACTAAAAGTGGACTAAAATAAATATGTAAAATAGCTAAAGGGAAATGTAAACTGCTTAGCTGGTGCCTCATTGTAACAGATCTTTTGATCTCTTTTTTCTCTATTCTGTGATTTTGATCGCAAACTTTTGATCTCTTCCGTCTAATGGCTTTGCTTTGCTTTTAAGAGCATTGATGAGCTATTTGCAAGTGTTAATGGCCATTAATGGCCATAAAATGTCTTTGAAAGGCGAAAAAGAAAAGAGTAGAAACGAAAAGAAATGAATTCATTCGAAATGCCAGTGAATATTTAAAGGATGAACTTGAAATTTTTTTCTTTCATTGTATTTCATTGTGTTTCAATAAGTGCATAGTTTATAAAGTAAGATTAATGGTAAAAGAAATACTCGTATGTACGTGTATGTAGAGATTACGACATTCGAATGCTAATGTGGCTTTACAATGAAATGTGTACA